AAAAGGGCCCAGTGCCCAAGGCTGATATTATCCATGAGAAGGTTTGAGGCCGGGGTCCTCACAGTCTACCCGGAGTGAACACAAGACTTTGCTGATTAAGTTCATAACTTCATTAACTTAAAAGTTTGAGTTCAATTCAGAACATCAGAGTCTTCAGACTGGCAGCACTGACAGTTCTCTCTCTCTCTCTCTCTCTCTCTCTCTCTCTCTCTCTCTCTCTCTCTCTCTCTCTCTCTCTCTCTCTCTCTCTCTCTCTCTCGGGCAACAGCGGCAGGTCGCTGTCGGCCGCTTTGAAGTTGCTCGGGCCTGTGTGAAACCCGCCACCCCAAGAACGTGCAGTGTCTTGTGTCCGGACCTCTAGGCCCTGTCCGGTGGGGTGAAACGATACTGAAAAATCACTCCGTTATTTTTCGAGGCGCGGCCAGGACCCGAAAAACGTCCTGGGCTGCCCCGTTATTTTTTTCGATTTTTGCCCCGGGGGCCTCCATCCGGACATAAGGACCGGACACCAGACACCGGACATGTTGTTCCGGACTGTAACCCGGTCCAGACGTCTGGACGGTGACCATGATAGGGACACTTAGAATTTTGTGCCCCCATCCCTGAGGCTGCCCACCTAGGGTAGGCCCAGCCTAACCTTCGCCCCATGCTAAGCGCCATGGATACCTGTGTGAGGTGCTGGTAGTTAGTTATAACATATAGTATCAATGTCAGTTATTGCATTACTCACACTGGTTCTTTCTAGTCCAAATCAGAATCTGACCATAACACGTGTCAGATACTGATAACATAGTCTCAATGTCAGATACTGCATACTCACACTGGTACTTTGTAGTCCAAATCTGAATCTGTAGTTATTGATCTGTACATCTGGGCCTAAGCCCTCCTCCGTGCGAGCAAGGATTCGAGCCGGTGACCTCGGCCTCAAGAGCCAAGTCACTTAACCACTACAGACAGGACACAGTGTAGTCAATAGTGGAACCATACCGGTGGTGATATCCACCCCACCCCTGCAAGGCTGTAGTGTCCAACTCAACATACACCACACACAACACCACACGGACACGGCAATTATCGCACACTTCGCTCCATTGGCAATCAATACCTGGCCCCCACTGGCCATAACTCGTGTCAGATACTGATAACATAGTCTCAATGTCAGTTAGTGCATACTCACACTGGGACTCTGTACTTCAAATCTGAATCTGACCATAAGTGGCATCAGATACTGAGAGGAAAAAGTCTGAGTGCGATTATACTGGTAGTTATAACTTATAACATAGTCTCAATGTCAGGTAGTGCATACTCACACTGTTATTTGCCAGTGCAGATCTGAATGTGACCATTGTTGGAGCCAGATACTGAATCTGAACCATTCTGAACCTTTCATGGTACTCCCCGTGCAGATCTGAATCTGCACTTCCATGGTACTTTGCAGTGCAGATCTGAATCCGACCATAATTGGCCTCAGATACTGATAGGAAAGTCTGAGTGTGATTACACGCCTAACTAGTATCTTCCAAGGTGTCATCAACCTTAGTGCATATGGTACCTCTGGTCTGGTCCCTCCTGAATGATTTCTGTTACTTGCCTTAGGACAATCCGCATAGAGGGTCTTTGCTCTGGAAGTTCTTTGGTGCACATGTTCCCGAGCATTGCAAGCTTGTGCACCATGTCCTGTTCCCATGGTGCTAGTGTGTTCTTTATCAGGGGATCGACAATCTCATGCAGCTGCCGGTACGTCAAGTCGCTGCGAACGAGCCACTGACGTGCCCATGGGACCAGAAGCGTCTCGGAGTCGGCACCTGTCTTCATCACAGCCTTTTGTCCCGTCACTAGTTCCAAAAGAACAACACCAAACGCATAGACGTCATTCGTTGTGGTCAGCCGAAGGTGGGACCGACACTCTGGGGCGATGTAGCCTGGTGTACCAGATTGTGCTACCGTACTAGGCGTAGGACCATCCGCCGCTGACGACTGTTGGCATGGAACGCCCTCCCCCGGTCTCGCAAGCCCGAAATCGATCAAGTATGCATGAAGGTACTCACCTTTCCCCTTTATGAGTATGTTGCGGCTCTTCACATTACGATGCAGCATTGGTTGCTCCAAACCATAGTGCAAGTACTCCAAGCCAGCAGCGACCTGTCGCGCAATGCTCATCCGCTCCATCCAGCTCAGTGGTACGCCATCTGCTTCTGAGCCCACACGTAGACCCCTCGGCTCGCTGGGATCATCATAAGCATGATATGGAGCTTGAGCTAGGCCTGTCCCTGCAGTGGCTGCAACTGCGTGCAGGCGGTCATGTAGACTTCCGCCTGATATGAATGGATACACCAGTATACATTTGTCCTGCTCCATGCAGAAACCGAGAAGCTTGCACAGGTTTCGATGGCGCACCTGACTCAATGTCGTCACTTCTGGATTGATCTGCTTGTACTTCACATTGTTGAATTCCCCTCTCATAACCTTGATAGCCACATCGGTGAGCTCTCGTCCAACCATTACCAAGGCCCGGTAAACGTCGCCATATCCGCCACCCTTGCCAGCCAGAAGATGATCTTCGCTGAAGTCTTTCGTTGCTCGCTGCAGCTCTGGCAGCGAGAACCGTTTGAGTTCGTTTGGAGCTGGTTCGTACCTATGGACAGCCTCCGAGTCGGAGGCAAGTGCTGATGCAGGTAGAATTGGTTCCAGTCGGCCGGAATCTCCTGTGCCGGTGGGGGTCGGCCGAGGAAGATTGGATGTTGGCAGCTCTATAGCATCATGCGAGGAGCTTGTACGTGTGCACTGTTCTATGTTATTTGAGCTCTCCTGCCTCTTTGAGTCACTACCAAACACCCCGATGCACTTGTTGCTGCGTTTCGTCTTCCACAAGACGACAGCAATGGCGATCACAATGAACGCAGCCACAAGACCAACTGTAAGCGGAACAACTAATGCCGCATCACGTCCAGCAGCCCTGCTGCCGCACTGGTGTAGAGCGGACTTGTCGATCGTCAACTTGAAGATCTGACCACCAGCTCCGGTAAATATGTGCTGGTCATCCTTTGAAAGAGTGACGCAGTTGATCGTTCTTCCTTTAGGCACCGCATTTGAGCCGTTGTTCCACATAGCTATCGCAACTGTCCTTACCTCAAGGACATCACCATCGGGATTATCCAACTTCAGCCAGCGGATCCTTCCAGAACCCCATTCGGCAACGAAGAGATTGCAACCGTCGGACGTCAACGCTAGAGATGAGGGCCACATAAATAGTGCAGTGGAATGAGGGCCGTCTCGGGAACCATTTATACCAGGAGTCCCTGCTATCGTCTTTGTGGCCCCCATTTCTGTATCCACCTTCCGAATCGCATTATTCATCCAGTCCGCCACATACAAGCTCTTTCCGGTTGGCGAAATGGACCGATGGCCTATGATAGGGTAATTGAATTGCACTTCACTCCCCGTGTCCGCATCAGTAAGACCGCGGCGATATTCATTGTCAGCGCCTGCAAGTGTGCTCATGCTCATAACCTTTAATTGGGAATCAAAATTGAGACGGGTGATAGCGGCATAGGAAGAGACGAATAACTCTTGCTTGGTTGGATGTTTCGACAGCCCCACAGGAACATGCTCTGTCCGTGTGAACGCCTCTACCTGTCCGGTTCTGATATCCACCTTTTGAAGAGTGGAGTTCCCTATGTCTGAAACAAGCAATGTGTTATCGTCGAAGACTAGAATGCCTGCCAGATGCGACGAGTTCTGGTTGTTTCGGCCACCTTCCGCAGCCCACGGCCCGGCCACGTTGGAGACATGGTACTGGCCTGTGGACGTCAGACTTGCGCTCTTGATCATGCTTTGTGTGATCATGGTGGTGGTGTTTGGCGAAAACTGGGTCGCATTCCACTCGATGTAGAAGACGGTACCATCGCTCGATGACGCATCGACATCATAGATGCGTGGAGCGTAGTTTGTAGAAGGCGGTAAATCATCTCGCCATGAAAGTACATCAATGAAACTTCTGATGAGTTGTGGCTCAGCAGAAGTGTTCAAAGATATGACATCACCTCCGAGTTTTCGCCTCTCCACTGCTTCGTCTGGCCCGTTCACCCGCTGGGCCAACAGAATGGCCCCACTGCTAACGAAAAAGCAGGTGGTGAGAAAGAGATTCAGGAAGTGTGCGATCCGAGGATGAACTCGTAGGAAACCATCATGATGGGGTTCGAGAAACATAGAGGCCTTTTTCATGATGGTAATTTTCGGAACCCTCAGCTGACAGCTGAGTCTTTTGTCCAACAAGCCTCGTCGTCTTGAAATCTGGTCACCTCCTCGGGATCACTAAAGTAATCTGGCATACGCGTGGTTGTATCGTCACTGCTTGGATCGTGAATGTGATATGCTGCACGAAAGTGTTCGGTCAGATGATCATTCGTCGAATATGCAGTTCAGTCTCACTACACGTAGTCAATAATTCCGCCTGCATTGGTCAAGAAATATTACGGAGACTCCATCCATTGTCGCGGTTGTCAATTTCACCTGTGAGAGAGCCCGAGTCCGTTATCAGATTTCATCTATGGTTGCAGTCAGGCCTCGCAAACCTGCGCTTCACACTCCTTTTTTTTTTTTTTTAATAATAATAAGAGAAAACTACGGCGCAGTCAGGGATTGAGTTTGTAATTGCACTTGAGGCAAAAGGGCCGGTAATGCTGAATGTATATGACCTACGTTTCGGGTCCGGTGGGGTCGCGTGGGGGTGTGTTGTATTCGCGGGATTGCCTGAAGTGCAATTACAAACTGTTTTCGTGACTGCGCCGAAGTTACCCCTAATAATAATATTATTATTAAATAGCAAGCTCCGATCTATTCGTGGGGAGCGACACGTG